GGGGAAGCAGCAGTTCGCTGTTGCAGTTCAGGCATGACATTGATGAATAAGCCCACTACTGCGCATAAGAACATGTTAATGTCCACCCTTTGGGAATGGCCTAAAGACACTTCAGTCAGTAGTACCGCTGGGGGAAAGTGTAGTGGCCTAGGAAACGGAAAATTTACTTTAAAAACCCCCCAAAAAACTTTGATCAAAGTTTCGCAATTGGCGGAAAATTGCCCGTTTCTTTGATTTTATTCTTTTGTCGAGCGCCTGGTTTTACCATAGGGCTTCATATATGTGAGGCATCGTGGTGAAATCAGGCGCTCGTCAAAATACTTATATAAAAGAAATGGCTTTTTTTCTGGCCGGTGTGAAATTTTTTTCAATTTTTTTTTTTTTGGCTCAACACCTTTTAGGTCAATGTAAAAACACATTTTTTTGGTGGATTTTACTGAAAAACATTGATTACAGGCGTAAATTTGCAGTTTCCAAGGACTCTTAGACTATGGAAGTTACCGAAATTAGGCGACCATTTCCTGGCTAACTTTACCTCTGAAACCAGGCGACCCCAACCTTCTTCAATCGCACAAATTTCGACTTCTATACTAGATAGATGGATATTTTATTCGCCCAAAGGAAGGCAAATGAACAAGCTTTAAGATGATACCAATAACCCCATATGCCCAAAAATTAACGAGCACCTGATCCCACCACGTCGTGACACATATATTATAATATGTGTCCTGGGTAGAAGTATTTCTATGCTATCTCTGCATTTGTACAGGAGTAATTTACCAATAAATAGTATGATAAACTTCTGCACGTTGTCCCCAGGCTTTTTAAAAGTTATTCCAAATTCTCATTTTGTTTACACATACTTTGATCATGTCCAGATCGTCTTCACAGCGCGCTTTCTACTGCTCAACTTCTACAAGTCTACATTCATTTAGATGAGGGAACTGCTGTCTCATCAGATGCTTGTAGATTCACAAACAATGAAAATTTTGTTATGCTCGTACCAGGCTATATTTCATACACTGATTCACGTGTTGACTGCCACAATCGTTTTTTTACGTTACAAATCACAAGAGAAAAATAATAGACAGCATTTGAGTAGCGCAAATCCCCGCTCAACAGCAGGCTCTATGCGCTTCACAATCTATACTATTACCCCAGCAGACCTGAGAGCATTCTGAAACGACCTCAAATTCCTGGGAAGCGTACAGTGCAAGAGGCCGTTTATAGGCGCTAAAACACTAACATACTGACACGATTTTTCGCTGTCTATGGCCGGGTACCCATTCCCACCTGGGTGAAGTGAGGAAAATTCGTGTAAAGTGCCTTTCCCAAGGACACAACGTCGGGCCAGCGGCTCGAACCCCCGACCCCGCAACCTCACGATTACGAGTCCGGTAGCCTAACCACAAGGCCACCGACGCCATTAAAGATTTACTTTACTGGGGTGTCACAGGAAATGGCCAAATTCTGATGTCTCCATTAGGCTGGGGGTTTCAAACATGTTTGTCATGAAGTATCAGGAAAAGATTTGAACTGGATTAGCTCCCACCTTTTCCGAATCTTTTAATAAGCACATGAGATAATCCCCCTCTCTCGCCTCCCCCTCCCTCTCCCCCCCCTCT